TTGATGTGAATCACTCTTGAAAGACAATTTCCTTTTGAGAGGGATTCTAGCTACAGCAGCACCAATTATAACTTGTCAATTTAAGGCTCAAGTGTAAGTCTAATCAAGATTGGCCATGTTTTAAAGTATTAAAGTATGTCATTTAGATTTTCCTTGCTCTCAAATTGGGTTTGGTGCTGCTGTAGTTTCCTGTCGTTGGCGTTATGCAAAATATTCAGGCCATGTAGGCTTTAATATAGTGCTCCTCCCCGTGGTCTCACCCGGGAAGAAATTATATGCTTCTAATTGCTTCTTGACAGTAAAATCACTTTTTCACTCCAGATCAAAAATAAAGCTATTTTTGTATTCTACTGCCACCATAGAGCATATGATTTCTTGCTAAACGCCTAAAATAGGGATTTTCAGGTTTCATCTTCATAATCATGTACAACTATTGATAATTAAACACCTTTAGAATTTGTTAGCCCCAGGAAGGTGCCGCCATGGGACCATATTTCACTTGAGGTGAGGATTTTATTCAGTCAGTTCCCGCACGGCTGTTTGATTTTACTTATTCATCTTTGTTTTCTTTGCTTTCAAGATATCGCCAACCACCAAGGAGATCTTCGCAAACTTTCAGTTGAATTTGTGTTGGCGAGTTTCTTCAAGGTAAGCTTTTTTTCAACCCTCAATCCATTCTTCCTTTTTCTATAATGAACTCATTATCTAACTTCCCATTGTAATTGTTTACAGATTTATGTCATTAAGTTCTGAGTACGGATTTCACTACAGGTGCCTTGTCAGAACCAGCTGTCTCCGGTTGCGTCATGTGGCTAGTCAGCTTAAAGAAGCCTAACAAGATGCAGCTTTACGACATGTTCATAGTTTCTGAATGCTCTCATTTCTGAACTGGTGAAGAGGACATATATTTTATGATTTTCGCTGTGATAATTGACAGAAAATATCCTGTGCTGCTATTTATGGATAAATACTATGCTATTCTATCTAGTTGATTCTTTTTCTGTAAGCTTTGAAAATAAACCAATTACTATGTACTTGTGATCTCTTTATTTTAATGTCCCTAAGTACTTTTGTACTTTATTACTTCAGTTGTCAAAGTGATGAGGCCAGGACGGCACTACTTAGCAAAAGTTATTGTTCCTCTAAATCTAAACTTTATGTTGCTGATGCTGAAGCCTTCGAGTTTCTAGTTTGGAGTACTTCCATTGTGAAGCCTGACTGGTAGTGATAAGGTCAGCGCTACTCTCAAAATGCGGAACTGAAATATATAATTCCTTCACCGATTTTTGTGTCTTTTCCTCTAAAGGAGTTCTCAGAATGAACGTCAAGGTGATACGAAGGGGACGCCTCTGACGATTTCCGTTGTAATTTAGTTCTTGCATCTGGGCGCCGCCAGGGTGGGCAGCCGCCTCCGCAGGGCTGTTCGGCGGGTTTGCCTACCCAGGTGTTTGCAGGCGGCAAGCTGACTCCGAAACGGGCGGTAGGTGCTTGGTTTGTGCTGCCTCCGAAGTCATAACTATAACTAAAGCTGAAGCTATAACTCTGAGACCTAATGTCGACGGTTATGCTGGCCCGAAAATGCAGTCCAAATGTAAAAAAGGCAATTTTGTACATCACAGGGAGAATACTGGAGACTGTATGCTTATTTTAATACTTCTTACAATGAAAGAGAAAATAATATTTTTGCATTACCAGAATTTTAAAATAAATTAAATAGGGCTTGCTCGACCATTATAGTCCCGGACTAGAGCTAGTTATTGTTCTTGCCTTTTTCCCCTGCGAAGAAGTTTTCCTCCTTTCCCTCTAAAATTCACCCTCCCCTGAGCCTCAACCAGCGATAGCCTCTCTTCGAGTCCTTCCTGGCCCCTGGCAGTCACTCTGCCGAAGGGGAGACCAAAAAGAATGGCTGTCTACGTTCGTTGACTGATAATAAACATGACGTCATCTTAGTTCGTCTGCATGTCTGCATTCTGATGTGATTTTGCCTTTGTTGTTCCAAGCTTTTTGTCAACTTGACACGAGAACAACTTGGAGACAGAGTGTCTTCCCTCAAGTCTCACTTCATTTTTTGAGATAAATTTCAGTCGAAATGGTTCGCGAGGTGAAAATGGCTCCGTTGAGGCCGCTCGACGATTTCTTGTTGAATTCAGCAAGGTATCAGCTCCCAAATTTTTCTGATTTGGACAAATGGGGAAATCGAGTCACCAACAACTTTTTGTACTACCAAACTAACTACTTCCTAATGGCTGTGATGATATTCCTGTTAGTGGCGTAAGTAATCTATTTCCTTGTACAAGGCATGTAAAATTATAACCTTATTTTGATTTTATTTACATTGTACCATTTTGCTATGCCAATGTGGCATTTTCTATTTTTCTTTTGGGGACTTCAAATATTTGCACAAACTTATGCAATTTTATGTAATTTCAGAGTGATTCACCCTGTTGAAATGCTGAGCGGAATGACTGCCATGGTATTAGCGTTTGGTTTATTCTACTATTTAACAAACGCAAAACCTGGAGTGGATCGCTTCAAGAAAGAACATCCACTTATCAGTGTTGGTCTTATGCTGGCAACTGGCTACTTCTTTGTTTATGTTATTGGCGGAGTTCTCACATTTGTCTTTGGCACACTTCTTCCAATTTTTGGTAAGTTTCTTTGAATAATAAAAAAGAAAACTCCTGTGCTCACCACAATTTTAACAAGTAACTTCCAATTTTGAAACTTATCTGTTCTGTTCTTTTGTTTCAGTGGCTTTCATCCATGCATCACTACGAACAAGAAACATAAAGAACAAGATTGTTAACAAAATTGAGGGACTGGATGTCTTCCAGAAAACTCCAATGGGCCTGTTTCTAGATACTCTTGGTATGATGCCTGATGTTATATCCTAAGTAACGAATCCTGAGGCAAAAATATCTCTCTTTCTATGAGCTGTGTATTCTGTCATGAAGTAAGTGCAGTATACTCACTTCTGGAATTATGACACATATATCATGACACATTGTAAAAGATATGTAAGTGTTACCCCAAAATTTTTGCACTACTTATTTAGTACACATAAGAAAAAAAAATTCCGGTGATATGTTAAGGTAGAATTTAAAGTTGATTATCTCACACTTTTGGTATAGCATAGAAAAGTATATGTGGTTTTTAAACTACTTGAAACTAATTTTTAAATTTGATATCTAAAACTACAAATTTGGTCAGAATTGAAACTTTACTTTTAGTAATACAAGGTATATTTCAAAGCATGTATATAAATGTATTCAACATCTTAAAAATCCTGCTTTAATGTTTATTTAATAGATTTTCCCTAATACTACCAATAAGGAACTTTATCAAAGTTCATGAAGCAGTTACATTGACAACTACAGCACTTTTCAATTTTACAACTACTGTACAACATTCTAGGCTGTGTTTAACATTGTTATTGTTTAATAATGCTTATCTTAATTAAAATGTTGCTTTAAAAATTTTGACAATTCTTAGAGTTTTCTCCCCACTTTAGTCTTTGTATCTGTTGTGCCTGCAATAGAAGCCATGCTGGGGGTAAAGACAAAACAGTCTTGAGTTCTGCATCTGAGTAGTTTATTCTTTGAGTTTTTAGCAGTTTTGAAGATGTCATAGAGTCTTAGAATGAATGAATAGTCAATTTTCAAGGTACTTTATATTTTCTTTTGAAAGTAATGCTTTATTTATTTTATTCAGTAGGAGTGACGGACGCAGTAGATGCCGACTTCGAAACACAGCTTGCGAGGAAAGCCAAGGGACTGCTCCACGACATTGGGAGTAAGAGTAAATCAAATTAGAGTTCTACATGACATCATTACAACGTTTTACAGAAAAGACTGGCTTGAGCTTTGTGATATTTGTGTGGCAATGCTACATTTAATTAGGTACCTCCAGATCTATAGTTAATTACAATTGTACATTGTTCAAGACAATTCCTGATGATTGCCATTGGAGGTGTGCTATACATGTGTTACATGATTTTCCCCAATAAGTCCCTTAGGATGCATAACTTCTTCCTTGCCAAATCTATTATGCATTATTATTTGTTGTTTTCCATAAGCATCATTGTTCTTTTTCTTTTTTCTTTCAGTTTGTTATCCTTTTTATGGAAATATTTCAAATTGTTTGAAAAACTAATATATTATTGTCTGTTCCTCATGAAACAGTTCAGGCAGTTAAAGTGGCCCTCTAACAAGAGACACCACCCCTCACCACCTTCATTTCAGAGTTTGCAAATACAGCCGGGATCTCCTCATGCAATTTAGACTGTTCATTAATGATGAATGTATTTTTACAAATTATGAAGGCATTTTGGTGCACCTATAGGGACGTATTCGAAATTGATGCATCCTGTTGGGCCTCTCATAGAGGCACCAAAATATTCTCATGATTTGTTGCATTTCTGAGCTACGTACATTGCACTAGCAAACCTGTGCTGAGTCGGTAAATTATAAAAACTGAAATGATGGGCAATGGATGATGAATTATATTGGAGGGCCACTTTTAGAAGACTTTTTGTGATATGATTGAGGATTGACATTAATGTGTAGTGTATTAAGAATAATAAGTGACTACTTTTATGCTCTCATACCCTAGTAGCGCCAATGCGCGTACAATGCGCATTTTGGGCGCATTCATGTGCATTGTGCATTTTCAATGCGTGAAAAATGCGCGCATTAATGGGGGTGTTTAGCAATGCGCATTCACGAAGGCGCATTCCACCCGCAATAAATGCGCATTATGTATGCGCATTAATAATGCACCCTCAATGCGCATTTACGAAGTTGCATTTCACCCGCAATAAATGCGCATTA